AAAGACTGCGTAAACACCACGGACGGCACCTTCTTTGTATCGCAGTTAACCTCCAACTCCCTGGCGCTCAAAGACCGAATTATCTCTTCCTGGACGCTGCGCCCGGCTTATTCTTCTCGTAGTACCTGGTTGTGTGTGAAGGCTAGTGTACCATTCTTCTAGAGAGACATTCGCAGCAGTAATAGTGATAGCTTTCGTCTGATTCGCCCTTACTCGCTTTGCTGCTGCCGGCGTAAAAAAAAAGAAAGAAAAACAAAAAAAATTACCAAGTTTAGGGCAGAATTGCCCGTAGATACATATTTGGATATTTCTTCGAAACACGTCTTGAACAAAGATAATCATACCGTAAGACGACACTTACCTAGGTTATACATTGATCATTTTTAAAAAAAAGTTTAACATCTCTACCATAAATATCTTCGGCCATAGCGCGCTTCAAATATGGCACAAACGACAATTGTCGAAAACCCGTCGTCCTTCCTCGCTCCTTGGGATTCTATTTCTTTAAAACCAAGCATGCCAGATTATTGCAATAAACGGCGTTGTCTTTCGCAAAGAATGCGGCACCACATGTAAAAATGAGAGAAAAAAAGTGAAAGCCGTTTACAACTTCCTGTAACGCCGAATTGGAGCGCAGCTCTTGAGGAGGAGGAGTGGAGGGTATATTCCTCCTCCTCCCTCGTGATCATGCCTGCTAGTCCTCCTCGCCTCCCGCTCCCACTCCCTCTCCTTTACCACCTCCTCGTCCTTCAAGCTCCTCCCCCCCCTCGCCTCCGGCTCCTCGTCTCTCCTCCCCCCTCCTCCACCTTCGCACTGCTTTCCTCCTTGCCGCTCAAGCCGGACAATGAGGGGAGGAGGAGGAGAAGGAGGGGGAGGAGGGGGAGGAGGAAGAGGGGGAGGAGGAGGAGGGGAGGGGAGAAGGGGGAGGAGGAGGAGGGGAGGAGGAGGGGGAGAAGGAGAGGGAGGAGGAGGAGAGGGAGGGGCGCGGTTACGCCGACGCCGACGCCGACGCCGACGGCGACGCCAACGGCGACGCCGCTCAGGCTGGAAACGGGCCCCTAAGAGCTGCGCTCTAATATTTTTAGAAGTGAAAGAGAAACAGGGTAAAGAGCTTCTAAACGATTGCCACCTTTTTTAATCATGTATACACGTAAATATACTACGAGTATGCATGCGATTATAACCAAGGTATGCCCGGCGTTTACTGTGTTTATAATCACCAATAATGTTCTTGGCTTATCAATATTGGTTATAATAAGCGATCGGTGTCCTCTTTTTATCAATTGTGTAGCCTAAACCGGACTGTGACTAAAACCGGTGTGGCTATGAGGTGTGTTTGTGAGCAGTCCGTGTACTCTATAGTTGCCACTTTCATAAAACGTCTGCCTCTAACCAACAAGGCCGTTTTGGAATGCTTGTTATAAAAGCCCCTTTCACTGCCATCTCCCACTCACTTTTCGTGCAAAATGGCAACGCCCACCGAAACTCCGTTATCATGGCACAGGCTAAGTGCTATATTTTGAATTGAGGGAAACAATGTCAGACAATTTGCTGTATGCCCTAACTTAAGCTGCTGAGCCCGTCCAGGACCGTCCTACTCTAATTAGAAAAAAGCACCTTAAAGTGAGTTATTCTTCAACGTCACTTTTGTTCCGTTAAAATGTTGTCGTTAAGCTTTCTTAGCCAAGAGAATGCACTTTCCTTCTCACGATCGTTTTGTTAGACGCAGTTTTAAAGTTACAACTCACAAGGCTCATTAATGTAAGCTAGCGAATATTCTTCGTAGGCTTAGTTTAGTTTACGTGTATGTTTCAGAAAAAGGGTAAATCAATCATGGCAGTTATATATAAACACGCCTATATGATATATATATATATATATATATATATATATTTTTAAGTTTGCGACTTAATTAGAGAGTTTTTTTTCTATACTAGTTCGTGAGGCAGTTATTTGGGTAATATTTCGTTGTTCCACTCCACTGATAACTACAAATTAGCAGTGATAATTCGCATCAGTCCTATATGTTTTTATTTTTACCAATCCCTCCATTCGCAGAAGCTATCAAAGTTCGCGGTAATTTCAAAGAAACGAAAAACCGAAAACACAACTCACTTTCCCGACACGCCCTTGCTGAAGTAGAGGAAGATCGACCGCATTCATCAAGCTCCCGTTTCTCAAGAAGTGTCTGACAATCTTCTGCAGACATACTAACAGCTGTCATACACTAACATTAAAACACAAAATAACGACAAACTAACGTAAAAGTAACGTCCGCTAGTCATGGCAAGTAACGACACCGATATTTTTTTACATTTGAAAAATGGTAACCGATCTGTGTAACGCGTTAGCTTGTTTTCAAGCTAAGGAGTAACTCTGTTTCCTTACTTATTTTCGGTAAAGGGCACAACACTGATTATGTCCTGTGTTTGACTGTTTATTTGTCTTCATTTGGATGTCACAGTTTTGCACGTGTAAAACGAAAAGCGACTTTTTTTTGGAAAGGTTGTTATGGTCAGCTGGCTATATTTGGTATCGCGACCTTTATGGGGGGCCTATATTGCCGCAATTCTCATAAATGATTAAGATATTTCAATACGTAGTTTTTCAATTTCTAATATTTTTGGCTATGATCTAATTTCAGACGCACGAAGAAGCATGATAGTCAAAAGTGTGCAGATCTCTATGACTGGTGTCAATTGTAGCATTTTTACTTAACAAGTTATAAAACAAAGGGTTTAAAATCGATGAAAACCTTCTAGCTAATCCGAAAAATCTATCTAATATTACACTGATTCTGGGTAAAACATATACTTTACCCACAACTGTCAAAAGTCGCGACTTTTGAAAATTGGCACAACTTCCAAAATCACCGCCAATTGCTCCAAACCGAAGGCCCCCTCTCCACCCCTCCCCCCCCCCCCCTTGCAGAAGAAAAATAAAAGAAAATCGTGTTTAGTTTATATTTTTGTTTAGGACATTTAGCTTCTAATTTTTTCGCCCCGTTGTTTTGCTAATGTTCTTCCTTTCCAGTTAGGAGCAACGCCTACCCACTTGCACGTTTGCGTTTCACTGACGTTGGAAAGCGGTGATGGCCGTGAGTTTTAGTATTGCGTCAACGAGCGAACGCAAGCTCTGAGTGTATGCGTCAGCGTTGCGAGCACCAGATTGCGGCTACGCAACACTAGCTCGGAGCCACAGTGCTTGTGTTTGCTTCTATACGCAAGACTGAAACTCTCTCGTAAGGTATAATTCTAGACCGGCTGCAGTACTACATAGGGACAGTTAAGAATGTTGTTTGCATTCGGAAATGACATTTCGCGAGCCATGACCGCGAGAGGTTCCACCGTGCCCGTTGAGTACGGAAACCTGGGAATCCTCATTAGGGCGCTTCCCGTTTCCGCCGCGGGAGGGCGAGAAACAAGCTGGAGACGCGAACGATTTATGCTCTAACCGCAACTCTAATACTTTTTTTTTTATCTGCTATATATATATATATTCTTTTTTCGCTCCAGGTTTTAATGTCCAGTTCATTTCACCCCACATATTGCATGTGGCAAATACGTGCCCTGGCACTTGGGTGAACGAAAAAGAAGACATTAATAAAAATATATTCGAAGGAAAAAATAGTCCGGCAGTAATTCTATTGCAGTAATTCCATCTGGCGTTAATACAATTCTAGTTATTTAAATTTCTTTTGAAAACAAAGTGCCTTGTTGCATATGTGGCCTGTCCAAGCAATATCGTCGAAATTTAAATTGCACAGAGCAATGAATATCTTGTTTTGAAGCAGTTTCGACTATCCAGCTCTGGTTTCACAGAAAGCTCGTTTCAAAGATAGGCCCATCGTGCCTGCCTTTGAAATTCCATATGTTTTCTTGAATGTCTAGCTGTCCTCCGATTTTGGATTCGTCTGAGCTTTGCCGCTTCTATTCGTGTGCGGCATGTACCGGGTGTTTCAGTGAAGAATGCCAAGCGTTCCTACAGTTGGTGTATTCGAAGTAAAAATATATTTTTTCAGGGCGCATTACTCGTGGTAGCGAACGTCAGAAAATGTGCGATACTTAATAATTAGTTTGTTAATTCACTCAAAAATTATCAAATAACATTTGAACTAGTTAAAATAGACATTTCGTTCCAATTAGAAACTTGCTGAGCGTCATTGAAAACCTCTAAATCTCTAACTTTCTGAAAAACATTGAGCGCGCGAGAAGTGTAGTAGTGCGCTAAAGTTATCACACGCGGAGCAGGTACAAGGCTAGCGGTTGCGATAAGGCGCCCGCGTAATTCTTAGTCTGTTATCAGAGCCCTAGCTTTGTACCTGGTCCGCGTGTGGTAACTTTAACGCACCACTATGCGTCCCACGTGCTCAAAGTATTTTTGAAAATTACTGATTTAGAGATTTTCGATGGCGCTCAGCAAGTTTCAAATTAGAACGTTATCTCTACTTTCACAAATTAAAAAGTTAATTACGCAGTTTTAAACAACTAGCAAACTAATTAGTTAGTATCGCGCATTTTCCGACTTCTGCCACCGTCGGGCAACGACGGTGGCAGAAGCCGGAAAATGCGCGACTACCCCGAATAGAGAATTTGTAGGAAATTTTGTCCGTCTTCGCTAAAACGTCTTGTATATTTATTTGATTACTCTAAGGCCCTTAAATTCCCTGGTAGAAGATCGGCTGAATTACCGGCTACGGTTAGGTTGGCCAAATAAAACACATCTTTGAATAATAACTTCCGACTCTAAAAATGAGATTTCATTGTGTTGTGCGCATGAATCAGCTATCTGACGCTCTTATTTCTCGTAAGATTTCATGGCACACGGTACAGCCTCAAGCACCCCAGTAATCCACAACAGGCCCTCTCGGCCATTACATAGCGGAAAGGGGGGGGGGGGGAGGGGGGGGGGAATACAAAGAGCCATAAAAACACAAAAAACACAAAAAGGATAAAAACGTGGTACCATGAATCATACAAGGCCAAAGCCCATTACTTTACCTATGACGTTAAGGTCCCGTTCACCGGAAACATGGTGAAAGAAAGGAGCGCCGCCGGAGACCTCGCATCGATATGGACCTCCGCTCGACAAGGCCAGTTGCTCCAGAAGCACTGATGACACATCACTTTCGGCTACCTGCAGAAAATGTGAGTGGCGAGTCTCAACCACGGTGTGAGGTATATTTATAGGCGGGGCAACCACGCGCGTCGCAGCTGCCAGGTATAGGGCGGCCCACACACTAGCGTTAAGTATGACCGAGTGCGAGGGTTGCCATGGCAACAGCTGTCGGCTCCGACAAAAGCGGCTTTTACCCGGCTTCGTTAAAGCCGGTGGAGCTGTTCCCATAGCAACCCTTGCACTCGGTCATACTCAACGCAAGTGTGTGACTCGCCCGTAAAAGCCCCTAAAAAGCAAAAGAAATGTTTTTTTTTTTTTTTTTTATCAGTCTGGGAGGGACACGCGTGTCAAAAAATAAATTTTACTCGAAATCCGGACCTCTCGTCCCCCTGGTCACAAGCGCTGCCACCAGAGGTCTCCTCGATAGGCGGTTCATGGCAACGTGTTGCGGGACCGGTTTCCCATGCTTCTCTATGGGAGACATTCTTACTTTTGAAGTTGTTTTGGGTGCCTCATGCCATGCAGAACTTGAAACTTGCATCACCGCTGTTGCTTAATACTCGTTCACACACCTGTGTCGACTGCGTGAAGCTGCGTTGCGATTTGCTGCACAGCGTCTTCCCATTGGCTCGTCGCAAGGGTCGCCATAGCAACAGCTCGACGCAGCAGTCTTAACTAGGCGCAAGTAGTTGGAGTCACACTCCAAATCAACTGTTTGAACGAGACTTTATACAATAATAAAAAAAAAAAAACAGTGCGAAAAAGGAAAAAAAAAAAACGAAAAAGCTAAGGGCTAATCAGAGGAATGAGGCTGACGAAGCGATTGGTCGGTGCAGTTTCTTTGACTCGTGTTTCGTTTTTCCGCTCAATTTTGATCCGAATGGGACTACCAAATAACCCAACTGTGTACTACACTTAGATAGTGCTTCGTCACTGACCCTAGATTCGTGTCTCAAAGATGGCCAAAACAGTCTTATAGACGTGTTGAAGCGGAGAGTTCTCCTGTTTGGTGTTGAATCCAGATTCCGTCCAGGTCAGAGCAGACGCTTTCGAGCTGAAAAATCGCGCGCCGGGATTTTAGCCTGAGGAAACAAACTGCGCCTCTCAGAAGGCTCAAACATCTTTAGAATGTGACGCAAGCGTTTTGAATAGAGCGCGAAAGTTTGAGAAGATGACGTTACCTGGATAAAAAAAAAATAATTGATTGAGGAAAACGAAATTTTTTATGAGCCGAGGTCCATCCAAGGCTAAAATCCTCAAAAAAGTAAATGACATTGTGGTCGCCTGCATTACCTGTTTTAGTAAAAACAACTTATCAGCAAAACCGAAAGCAGTCCCCTCTAATTTTTCTTGCTGATGCGCTTTCTTTTTTTGGCTAGTATACATCCCACGTGCGATGTTAGGCTTATTTAGACGGTGGGTCAGAAAGTAACTAACTTTTTCAGAATTATCCTTTGATCCAGGTAACGGTATGTCCTCAAATTATCGCGTTTTATTCCAACGCTTGTGTCACAATTCAGCGGAGATCGAGCGTTCTCCGATGCATAATTTATTTATCTGGGCCAGGAAAACGCGGTTCTCTTTTCTAGGGAACTCCCTGTTTATCTTACACCACGGTCTCAGCACACGAGGTGGCCGCTCAAACTTGCATGTGCTAAATGGACAAACTCTCTTCAGTGGCTCTAAAGCCAAAAAGAAGTAGCCCCGATGGTATGAATTTCGAGGACGAAACAGTAAAGAAGTATCTTCAGTTGGGGAGGTTGACTCCCGAAGTGTTCCGTGAAAAGTTTTACAAGACTGAATGAATAAGCCTCTTTAATATTAAAAGGGAGGCGTGGGTAAAGCGCAGAAGCTGGTAAATATTACGATACTAATCCCTAGAGTAAAATAAAAAGGAAGACAAAGGACTGTCCCATTTGTTATCCTTGATGATCTTCTACAAGGATTATTATCGCTATTTTTGTCCAGCTCTTGCACATTTGCATTGACTGCATTATGATGGTGAATATATATTTATTTTATTGTTGTAAAACATTTTAGTTATGAGCCTCGTTCAAGTTCCAGCAGCAAATTAAGCAATTTACCTTTATGGGCAGCTACAGAAGACAAAACCGCGCAGACAAAAGACTCCGAAATCGGCGTGACCAGCTTGCTTACAAGCATGAGCCTGAAACTGAACAGCTTTTTGAGTATGAAAGAAACGGTATCCGCCATTGAAACTTTCGTTCAAAAGATGTCAGACCAATATGATGAACTACTGAATAGAGTTGGCCTCCATGAGAAACACGTAAGAAATTTAACAAAACGTGTGGAAAAAATGGAGAACGCTAGGACGGAAGGACAACTTGCAAAGTTGAAACAAGAGTTGAATTGTCTGAAATGGCACAATAGTAAACAAAACCTAGAAATCCGCGGGGTCCCACAAGCTGCAAGTGAAAACTTGCTGTCCCCGACACTTGTCCCAATGCGAGATTGTATCAATGCACAGGCTCCCTTTTAAACCAGATAAGATCCGTAGGATAATTCTGCACTTCGCGCAACGACAGACTCGCGATCGCTGGCTGTACAAGAGACGTAACCTTAAACGGCCCAAAGATAATGGGTATATTCTTGAAAATATGACTCGTCAAGTTAAGTCGCTCTTGTGGGCTACGAAACAATGAGCAAGTGAACACAATTTTCAGTATGTTTGGCACCGAAACGATAACATCTTTGTCAGAAGGAAAACCGGTGACCCATCCAAAACACTCAAGCGAACACGACTTTTCAAACATGAGCTGAGAAATTGATGTGTGCACCCTTTTTCTTAATGTATTTATGTTTATACTTTGTTTTGATATGGCAGTCTCGGAATATATTTTGCCTTCTGTGTTTGGAGCTTGTATTGGAAAAGAGTTTTCTTAATCAACTCGCTGTTTAGATATTAATATTCGATAGCCTAAAAATAGAAATATTGATCTGGGGTTGTTTTTTTTTTTTGCTCGAGCTTTTTATTTTTGAGATTTTTATGCGTTCTGAAACCTGGTACACAGAACATACCGATGTATTCAGATTGACTTTCTGCCAATGTGTTTTTTTTTATCAGTCGCAGTGAAACTTGAGGAGGGGAGGGGGTGTCAGTTTTGATTAAAGAAAGCCTTGATTGCGAGTTGCTGGCTTCGTTTACTGTTATCACTAAAGATTACGAAGCTTTATCATTGCGAACCCAAAACGACTTCGCTTCGGTCATTTACCGCCCCCCTACAGGTGCTTTGCCTGGCGATTTTAATGTGAAGATATTAATCAATACTGTCTCAAAAAGGCAGTTGGAAAATTTAATACCTATAAATTGTTGTCGTATCGTAGTTAACTCTCCAACGAGAGGTAATGTTACCTAAAATACCTTGAGTGATTGATTTATAACAAATTACTAGGACAGTCGTATAAGATCTGGAATAATAAATTATGACCTCAGAGATCATCTTCCGATTTTTATGTGTGTCAACATGAATAACATAAAGAAGAAAGTTCCAATTAATTCTGCGCAAGTCCAGTGTATTACACCGGATGGTTTGGAGAGGTTAACAAAATGTGTGGCAAATACGAATTTTGGATGATATTTTCTGAAGGAGCGATCCCGATGAGGCGTACGATTTTTTTCTTAAGCTGTTTAAAAACATTTATAGAAATAATTTTTCTTGCAGACTAATTAGAGTGAAGAAGCGCATTCGGAAAACGTGGATAACTGTAGATCTACTTGGAAATATGAATGTTAAAAATGCGCTATATAGAAAGTTCACGAAAACTAAATATCCCAATGACCTCCGGACCTTTAAATCGCACCGTAATCAAATGAAAACGCCCGAGAAAAGCAAGGAAGCGTTATTATCATGAATACTTTAGAAACTATGTAGGCCGTTCTGACCTTCTATCGAAGGACTTAAATTTAGTTATAGAGGGCAAAACACCCCATCGAGCAGAATGCATTACTTCTACAGGGGACAAATTAACTGACGTGTCGTTGGCAAACGCAATTATGACAGGTTTGTTTATTTTCCTCATATTAACTGTAGAGAAGCCGCATGTGATAATGTATCTTCTAAAAGTAGGGATTACATTTTTTATTGTCAGTTACGGGCACAAAGGTGTCCCTACTCTCTTTATGGAATTTAAAAAAAAAATAATAATAGCCATAGTTGTGATGCCGAAGGTATGCAGAACGGGCCGGTGAAACATTACTTACATTTTTAATTTATACATTTCAACTGGGGTGTTTGAGTCCTATTTGAGTAATCGTAAGCAGTTTGTCCATTTAAAGGGTTTTTCATCTCAAACGGTCTGTTTTCTCCGGTCTATCACAAAGGAGTATTTTGGGACATTTGCTATTTAACATTTATATTAACGATATTATTGACATAGACTCTGTTGCTAAATTTGTTATATCCGCAGATGATAGAACCATTTTATTTTCGGCTAAGACTAGCGATGAACGTATCAACTGCGCAAAATTAACCAGTATTTGTCTTGGGCCGACCATGCAAGTTATGTACTTTCTGGATTGTCCAGGGCGATTGGATTAGTCTCACGAAACCGTTTTATTTTACCAAACAACGTTAAACTACTTATATATGTAACTATATTTATGTCCCACTTAAACTACTGCCACCTGGTATTGGGTACAACCACCAGTTAAAATCTACAAACATTACATATATTACGAAATAATTGTGCGCCTCACGTCTTATATTTCAAGCAGCCAGGGTTTGTTTGAAAAAATATTATTTATTGCGTGTTTTCCATGTGCATACGTATAAATTTATAATCAACTTTAAAGTAAAAAGAAAAGACACATGGATAATCTGGTTAAACTTTCTAAACCAAGGGAACCTGTTACCACCTATCCAACTCGTCCGGCGGCACGTTGGGCTGTGTCCCTTTGCCAGAACAACTATTCCGTCCACTATCTAAAGTATATGCTACCTACTTTACTAAATTTCTCTTAACCAAAAATGTTGATATAATGTCTGTCACAATGCAAG